CTAATGACACATATTTTCTTTCTATGTTGAAGTTTATAGAAAGAATGGGGACTGACTGCTTTAGCACTATAGTGTCTAATTGCTTTTATTGACTATGCTTGTTGTTGTATTTACCGGTTCAATTCCCCTTATAGCTCGTTCATAGAAACAGAGATTCCGCTACTTGTCATTGAAAGTCTTGTCCTTTCTCTCTGTCCCTGCAGGCTCCTTATGGACCACCATACGCCATGATTCAAGGAATGCTCAATCCTGAGGGAAACCCGTTCACGCCAATCCCAACCGAGCACTGCCCAACCATAAGCCGTGGCTCGGTGGCATGGGTCGGCTCGGGTCCAGAATTCTTCATCAGTCTAGCAAACCACCACGAATGGAAACAATCTTACACTGTCTTCGGCTCTGTTCTGCAAGAAGACATGGAAATTGCAGAGAAAATTGCCAATTTACCAACCAGACCTGATATCTGGAGCAGCATTAATGTCACAGTGTTAGAGAAGCCGGTCTCATTAACCATACGGAGAATGAAAACGAATCAAGAACAAGAAGAAACTGGTTCGTAAAAGAACAAGTGAGAAATGAGCTCAGGAATAGTTCTTCTTTTTGGAATTCTATAATTTCTATCTTTCCACATTGTGCATATATATAGACACTTAGACACACTTGAAAATTCATTCGATTTTCCGGTCTTAAAATGAGAACTTATATCACGCTATTATTTGAGTCCTCCGTCTCGCAACGAATTTCAGAATTGAACTTAGCAGAATACCATTAACGAAATCGTTTAATTACAGTCCCTTATCATCCAAATTTTTTGAAATTGCAATGTTAAACCCACTGAAAATAATTAGTATTAGGCCCATAATTTTTTCACAGCCCATAAAACCATGTCGATCACAAAAAACCCTAGCAACTACTATCTTTTATAAGTTCTTATAATAACGAGTCCTAGGGTTTAGCTCTGTGTATCTTTTTTTTTACTTTTGTTTCGGGATCAATCTTTTCTGTAACCCTAATCTTCAATGTCTTCGTAGTCGACAAGCGATTATAAATCTATCTGTGTTAGAGAAAAGAAGCTTGCGTTGTTATATAACCTCTAATGTCTTAGTTGTCACAAGCGGTTATATAACAATACAATCTTCTCTTCTCTAACACAAATATCTAATGTCTTAGTTGTCACAAGCGGTCTCATCATTCTTTGTATTTCCTTCTTCTTCTTCTATGTATGATCTGTGTTTCTACGTTTCTCGTGTTTTGTTGTTTATATTTTCGTATCTCAAATATATTTGAGCACTAATCCGAATATGAATTATGTTACTCTCATCATTCGTTTTGTTTGGTTATTTCTAAAAATCAGATATTTTTATTTGTAATTTCTGTTATTATATTTTGTCTCGTGTGTTTTTGAGTTGTGTGTAAAATTTTGTAGTTGTATATATATACTAGTATTAAGACCCGTGCTCTATGCATGGACATAGAGCAAATTTGATTTTAAAGTAGAATCTCATAGAAAAATGATCTATTGAACTATTTTACCTTTTTTGGTTCCTAGTTCGTATCAACTTCATTTTTGCCGATATACTGTGTATTCGTTCATGAAAAGTGTAGAGAATACATGTATATTTTCTTTATTGCTTGTTTGTTGATATACATGTTTTTTTTTCTGGCGTACATATGGTTTTTTTATGGACTGTACGTTCTTTAAGATGATTGTTTTTGTTGTTTGTGTGATGAAACACAATGACATAATTGTGTTCTTCTTGTGTTTCCAAACATAATTTCTGGTTTTGTCCATTATAGAGAACCTGCTTTGAATCACCAAACCTATTTTGATTCATGGATCTTGTTTCGTTAAAATTAAAGTTGACTTCTTGTGGTTAAAATGGCATAGTCAAAGTTTATGGTTTCTTATGGTTTATTAAAATTAAAGTTTATGGTTTCTTTTTGCCATCATAAACTCACTTAGATACTTGCTGATAATTGAGCCGATGGACTTTCGACCAATTTAAAGTAGTCATTTACAACAATCCTTGTTATTTGCATTATAGAAACAAAAAGGATACAAAATAGGGAATGAAGGATCCTTGTTATACTAACAAAAGACGAAATTAATCAACATGTTCATGAAATACGGCTCATAGATAATATAGAAACAGTTGATTATCCTTATTGAATCAAAAGGATGATCAGTTCCTTCATATCTAACTAATACCAATGTTGTTTTACCTCAATGCATGGTTATCATTGTTCTCTTGTTTTTACACAATTTGGAGAAAGACGAATCCTTCCTTCCCGTGAAACTAAAACCTGTGGAATGACAATGAAGCATGATTTTGAAGTGATTTTAGAGGTAAAGCATTTTAAACACAGTTTGAAAATCTAGTAAGCCCCATAATGTGATCTTCCTCGCAGAAGTAACGTTAGCTACTTAGTTTTTATATATATGCATTTGTTATTATACTACATTGAATACAATAAAACATGATTTTTAGTTTCCAGTCAGTATCATTTTCTCGGCTTTTAAACTCTCAAATGATAAATCTCCCAAGATAGATACTTAGATAGTTTTGTCTCAAGGATCAGAGATTTGGCAAGTAGCAACATGAATATATTAAACTTTATCAACAAAGAAATTGTGAGAATAAATAACCAGATGTAAAACTTACTTGTCTCATTTTACCTTAACGTTTTGAGGCCATGGATTTGATGAAACTTTAAAGGGATTAGTGTTGCTTTCCATATCTTTTCTAATCAGGCTTTTTTGATATACTGTGAGACTCTAGAAGAAACCAAGAGAATCTATCTGAAACCAGATATCAACAATCTAATCTCGATGGTGGAGAAAAGTCTTGATCTATCTCGATGATTATTATTGGTTTTTTTAGTATTTTT